TTCTCATGCCTCCTCATATAAAAAATATGGCTATGCAGACCTTGTTGGGTTTAGAGTTTCTCCATGCCCACTGGATCCTTCATAGGGTAAGCCGAGACGCCAGATTCGTCTTTATAATTACTGTTATAGGATTTGAAACCTAATAATTTGCTGATGAATAGTGCTGGTCGTATAAAACTTGCTGATTTTGGTCTAGCCCGTTTTTTTGGCTCTCCCAATAAAGTTTACACTCATCAGGTAATTTTCAGCTGACATTAATGCTTTTTTCTTCTATCTACTAAGAAATACAGGTTGTCACCCGCTGGTACCGCGCCCCTGAGCTGATTTGGGGTGCACGAGCTTACGGCACCGGGGTGGACATGTGGGCTATTGGATGCATCATTGCAGAGCTGCTGTTACGAGTCAGTTTATCAAATGTCGAAACATATATTCATTGTTTTGTCAGTATAGGTTCCATTGTTTCCTGGCGAATCAGATCTGGATCAGTTAGTCAAGATAGGCAATGTCTTGGGTACACCATGCGTGGAAGACTGGCCAGCAATGATGAACCTTCCTGACTATATAGAGATGAAGTGGGCTTCCAAAACCACCCTTTAGAAGAATGTTAAGCTAACATTTAGGGAACAACAAGGAATAAATCTTCGTCATGTTTTCACTGCCGCAGGTGATGATTTGATTGATTTACTTTTGGGATGTTTCCACTACGATCCGTTGAAGAGGTTTACTGCTTCTGAAGCGTTACAATGCCCTTACTTCAGGTTAGCAATCTTTGCCTGAAATGTTCTTCACATCTTTTACTATCTGTTTTCAGCAACGAACCGCTATGTTGTCTCGACGAGGAACTTCCGCTTCCAGCTCGCGCTATAGGAGGCCCACAGATGAAAAGGCGAAGATTACGGGACGATTCACCTCCTCGCTTGAATTTATAATAATCTCAACCATATTTCGCTACATTTTCTGCAGATCTTGTTGATATTTTTGTGAGAATACGGGATAAAAATACTCACCTCAGCTCCAGCCCCTCATCTAGTGACATTTGAGACTCGGTCGGGTTTTTGATGATGCTGTAGCGGCATCCAGGCATATACAGGGTGGCCGAAAAGTATGGGCGTTATATCCACAAATATAAATTTGCCATTAAACATCAAAACCTGATTTTTATTATGCTCATGAAGCAAGCTTGAATATTGACGTTTAAAGAAACTGTTCGAAATGGCTTCCTTTGGCCTTGATGCA